GTAACTCTCTGAGCTGAATGGAACTGAAAGAATGAAGTAATCCCATTCATTAGTTTCTTTAGATGTGCATCATTTGAAATGGCACTATTTTGCAGGCCTTATTTAGCTTGACTGTAGGTTGCACTTGATCTAGCTTTAATGAAGACAATCAATTTCATGTTTCAAAGTAAAAGCAGCCCACTGCATTCTTTAAGAGAAGTGTCTTGCTAAATCCTACAGTTAAATAATTATAAATCAGACTTCAAGGAATCAAGAGGTTAAGTAAATCACAAATATATATCATTCTGCATCTAATAGTGATGTGAGCATTTTTATATATTTATTCCTTAGCCAGATGCAGGATAGACTCTGAATGTTAGAGAATTTGGCATGTTAGGAAATACTGTAGCGTGCTGTGTCAATTTGAAGCTAGCTGCTATCAATAATTATTGGCATTTCCTCTTGTTCTAGTACTATAAGACTGATTTTTATTTTTTATTTTTTTTTAATTTGCTTCCCAATTTTAAGTGGTGTCACATCACCCCTTCCCCAAGACCAATTACAGGTGACATATGCATATTAGAAGACCTTGTAAGTACTTAGTAGAAGACTTATTGAAATAGAAAAGGTCTTTTTTTAATCACCATGATCATATCTAGGTCACACATTCATAGAAAAAATGGAACAGAGTTGCAAATTTCATTCCATTTTTATTGTAATAAAATTACAATGTGACTGATGGCTTTAGATGGCAAGCTGAGTTACATTTCAACTTAAAAGCTAAGTATATTGTCTAGTTATCAACCCCCTAAAATGATCTAGTAATTAGGAGAGAAGTATTTAGGTCTCATCATGATTTTTTAAGCTTTATTGTTAGTAGCGTTTTTTTCTAAAAGCTTTTACTTCTTTTAAATGCTGTTCTCCTGTTGTTGACTTTTACCCTGTTTTCCTAACGTGAGTTCCTGTCTTCCCTTAATAGCCTATTGCCAGCTGCAGCCTAACCCAAGGGTAGAAGACTCCTAAACTAACCCATGCATCCTTGGCTGCTGTGGAGAGTATTCCTATGTAATGGGAAATCCTTCTACTTTTAATTGTCTCAAAATCATTGTCCTGTAAGCCAGTTTACAGTAAGTGCAGCAAAGAGGACATAGCCATAAGAATTAAATTCAAGCAATTATAATGTTCATAGAGAGACTAAGCAGAAAGGAATACTTTCTTACATGTACCTGGCAGTTAGCACTAATGACCACTCTGACTTGTGCAGTCTCCTGCCCCCCATTAAGATCCAATATCCTTAGGCCTTTTCTAGGCATTTGGGACTTTCAGCTTCCTTTTGTAACCGAACTCACACCTGGGATTAATCCTGTTGAAATCATCCAATCTCCCCTGCCTGCCCTTTTCCCTGCCCACCTTCACTTGATAAAAATGAAGCCAAATCGTCTTAATCCCAACATTGGGATTAATGCATATTTCTAGGTAGTATGACTGTGGAAGTACAATTACTGTGAACTTTTCTCAGATGCTTGCAGTGCTTCTAATACAAACTCTCTGCTTTGAGAAAGTTAAGTATGTGTGATGGGGAAAAATCCATCATAGTGGGCCGGCCGCTTGGGGCACCACAGCAGGTCTATGCCACCTGCTGGCTGACAACTTCTAGTAGTGCATGGGAGATGTCAGCATTTCTGTCCTCTGCTCAGGTAGCAGCACCTGGGGAAGGGTGAAGGTGGGCTGCTGCATGCTGTGAAGGCTGTAGTGGGATACAGCTCAAGCTAGCAGGAGGAGGAGAGTTATGAGAATATGGATGGGGCAAAAGGTCCAGGAGAAGGAGGCTGAAGAAGCAGGGATGGTGGAGGTTCATTCCTTTTTCAGAACAGTCCTTTTCTTTGCCTTTGCTGGTGCAGACCTTCCTTGCCTGTTCCTCCATCTTTCCAAGGCAGTCCTGCTCCCTGCCCCACAGTGACCTACGCAGGCTGGAGGGGTGCTGGGGTGCTGCCCCAGCCCTCCCGGACCTCCCTGCTAAGGTTTCAGCCAGAGGGCTAGGATTTGGACACTCCTGTTTCTATTAAAGAACAAAAATAAACTTTTGCTCTGTCTATTCTTGTATTGGAGGGTATGGCTTTGATGTAGGTGGTATTTCTACCCTTTCCACTAATGAGTAATACAAAAAATAGTAGCTGTTTTCAGGGGAGAGATTTTTTTCCCCTGCTACACATTAACAATTACAGTATTTTCCTTTAAGGGATGTATTTGGCAACCAATTTTAAAAATATGCATTTGTAAATATAACAATAACTCATAAAATTAATAACAGAAGAAATTACGCTAGGGAGGGATGATTCTTTGGACTGTTTCTTATGCATCTTCCCAATTCACCTGTACTAATTCCTGACAGAGACAAGATGCAGCACTAAGCATTTTGCTAGGGCCATTAAGAACATAAAAGTCTAGTATATAGGATAGTTAAGCAATCTTCCATTATGCACTTCCTGTAGCTAAGAGCAACACAGGCTTTTTTTTTTTTTTTAACTTTATTATTATTATTTTTTAATCTACTACAGCTGCATCGTTCTTTTGAATAAAATGTGAGTAGGAAAACTACATTGGCTTGGATTATGCCACTTTCTGCAGAATGAAACACAAGTACACAAGTCAAATTATGTCAGTGAATAACAGTCTAAAGGTTTTGAACAAATGTGGAACATTATTCTTCTTAATTTGAAAGAAATGAAAAGAAAAAGCACAAAGCTCTTTGTTTCTGTAATGAAATTGCCATCAGAACAAATACATTAGAGGTACAAAAAAACAGAATTCAAAAGCAGTAGTTGTCTGTATGCTATTAAGACAGGGAAACAGTATGTTTCCAGCTGAGTGACCATACTTCTTTATGATCCATTAGGCAAGCAGAACTTAAAGTTCATTCCAGCCTACATGTAATTCCAGTAAATAAAACAAAACATGATGTCAAAGCTGGGGAATCACTGATGGCCTTAGCCTAGCAAAGGAACAAACTAGAATGGGACTGACAGGAACAGAGCAATATTACTTTAGACCTCAAAGATATTTAATTTGAGTCTTTTTTTTTTTTTTTTTTTTGAGAGCATTTTGAATGGCAGTGTGATTCATTGGTTATGCTGTACAAGCTTTATGCTGTACTGCAGGAGAAATGCTATCAGGCTTTCAGAACCACAAGCTGGTCTGAGTAGACTCAGAACTGAGCTGCAGGGAATGTGTGCTGGAGATCCAGGAATAAGTGATGGACTTGAAACTATAAATAGTGTACTTGTAAAGTGAACAAATCTTAGTGGAAGAGCAATGCCGGAAATGAGTATCTCCTATAATGACACTAGTTATACAATGTACCCTACTGGTATTAACCTGTGCACTCTTTTCTTTCAATATAGTTTTGCTCAGAATCACAGAAAATAAGTTAGGGATCAGAAAGTCCAATTCATCTTTCCTCCCTTGTTTAAGGCTTAAAAACCATTCCTGACAGATCCCCAGTGAGTTCTGAAAACCTGCAGAGGAAGAAGTTCCACGTAATCCCTCAGCAATTTCTTCAGCTACTTACCTGCCCTTCTCGTTAGAAGCTTTTCTGTCTGTCTAATGTAAACCCGCATTGCTACAAGCCTAGCCAATACTACTTGACTCATTCACAGTAGAAATGAGAAAAGTTTATTCCCTTACTTTTTTTATTTTCCCCACCAGCTTTTTAAGCTTTTCATGATGTTCCCACATAGCCTTCTTTTCTCTTGACTAACCAAATCCCAAATCACATTTTTATGTTTCCTCAAAGACCAAATTTACTGCATCTCTGATAATTTCTATGGCCTCATCTTTCTGAAGTGTAACATTCACCACTGGAAACATATGACTTCCTGGGGAGGCCATAGCGGTGCTGAGTAGAGCAGAATGCTTGCTTCTTGTGATTCACTTCAAACAATTCAAGTTTTTATCTTTCTATTTAATTGTGACTAGTTTGTAAACACCCATTACCCACATTCTGTTTTGCATTCTTGAGGTAGATTGCTGTTTAACTGAGTTTGTGCATATGATTGTCTCTGTTTCTTATGGACATAAAGATATAAGATTTCATTATTTGTTTTTCTGATGGTTTCTTCCATTACACAACATAATGTTTCGTTCTCCTCTTCCTCCACCAGTAAGCTTACTGCCCCTTTCCAGATTGTATCTCTTGTACATTTAATGAATAATAGTTTGTTCAGGTTCCTAATGAAAATATTTAAGATTATGGAACCCACTAAATTTTCCTATATTATTAAATTAGTCTTTTAATTTTTAACCTCTTGAAAATTGTTTTCTCCAATTGCCTATCCATTTTGTATTGTGCTTCTGGCAGAAGTCAAGTGAATGTAACACAGGGTCAATGGTCCTATTAAACTGAAGATATATGCTTTCACCAAACTACAAGATTTTTTGCCATGTCATATAAACTGAATTGGTTCAACACGATTTCTTTTTTCAAACCCATATTGTCTATTGTTTATCTTTTTGGTATTTTCTAGGTAGTAAGTAGAGGGTGGTTTTTTTGTTTTGTTTTGTTTTTATTTTTTTTTTTTTGTTTGTGTCTCCTTAATATTTCACTGAGAATTGAAGTTATGTTGATTTCAGTAGCTTTTAGGCTTAATCTGTTTGTCTGTTTTTATTTTCCCCTGGGAATGAAACACTTCCTGATATTTTGATTACTGTCTCCCAAACTGCCTTCTGCCTCCACGTTCAAAATGAGTTTCTGAAACATGTTCAGAACTGAAGTCACTGTTCTTCAAATGCTGTCTTAAATTCCTGGATCTAAAGCTGTCCTGCCATGTTCTGCTGTCTCATTCTCTTTCTTCAGTGGATCTGCAGCCATGTATTTATGACTCTGACCAGGTGTGGCTGTTGTGCTTGGCTGAAGATCATCGTATCACCCAGATTCTTGTCTCCCTTTTCCTCAAACTCAGAGCCTGTTTTCACCTCTGCTCAAGTGTCATCTGCAACACAACATTTTTGTTTTCTTTTGACAGAACAGTGGAAGACACATTCCGTGGAAACCTAGATCAGGATATAGTCTGAGGATTTTTGCTCTGCCAGATAGAAGACACTTTGATGAAACAGAACTCCCCAGAGAATTTGCTTCTTCCTTCTGGGGTTTTTTCAAACTTGAATTTTTGCTTCAAATGTTGTTGTTGCAGGATCAGTTCATGAAAGAATTCAAATGCATGTTCTCAAAACTATCTGAAAAGACAGTGAAGACAGACTAGATTAACATTCATAAGGAAATGTGTAAGAATGTGTAACATCATAAATCAAGTTGTAAAATGATTTGTTCAAAAACTATGTAGACCCTCTTGGGGGAGATTTTTATTTTTTAATAAGGAAACTAAGAATTCAGATCCATTAACATGTTTATTTCTTTAGACCAAATAGTGTGGGTGTGGGAAACATGCACAAATCCCACCCCTCCGACCAAAAATAAAATAAATAAATCTTGAAATATGTCATTTTAAAATGCTGCAAAACAATGAACAAACATGTAATAATAGTAAGAGATAGCCATGACTGACTACTGACTAGAAAATTGACCTTCTTTATCTGTTATAATGTCATAGGATGAGAGAGAATCTCTTTACAGAGAATATCATTACCCTGTTTTGTTTTCAGACTTCAAAAAGCCTTGCTGAGTTGATTTGTACTAAAACTCCCCCAAAGAGAATACCTATAAACAGATACAATTTATTTTAATTGTATTTTCTGAAGGGTGGCTTAGTCTCTAAGCTTATGGAAAATACTTTTAGGAATTCTCTGTAATTTTAAGTATTACAAACAATAAAATTTCATATTGGAAGGATGATAAATGCTTCTTTGTTACAACATTATAGATTACTGTATTAAAGCAAAGAAAGTAAAATGTGGTTTTAAGGACAAAACAATGAAAACAAAATTTAACAGAACCTGTGGTCTAGACATATTCAACTCCTCATTGTAAAATGTGTGCATAATATACACAGCAGGTCTGATTAGCATTTTTATGTAGTAACTGATTTAACTCAGAATATAACCAAGAAAAATGTATTTTCTGTGCAAGGTATCTGCTTTCTGCAGAATATATACAAATATATTACAAATAGACAAATAGATTATTTACATATTATATATACATATAAATATATGTACATATATGCACAAACATATGTAGAAACAGTTTGCAAATAGCAGAATCTTCCTGACATTAAAAAAAAGTTTTCAAGTAGTCAGCAAAAACTTTATCAGTTACAAAATTGTAGTATTCCATATAATGCTTGAAGAAAGGGAAATAAAAGTGTATCATCTCCCATTTCAGATCCTGCAGCAGTGCTGTGTCCCATGCAAGCTACAAACATACAGCTACTGGTGCACTACTTACCTGGGAGAAGGAGGCAGCTGGGACCATGATCTAGAGTGGGTAATAGAAACCTGAGCTATGAGTCCTGTTGTGATGACATTGTTGAACACAAATTTTTGTGGTCTCTAAAAAAAATACGAATAAATGGTTTTAATGTGTATTAGAATTAACAAGAACTGGTTGTAACTGATGAAGAATACAATGTAAAATATCCACTGACATTATGGCATGAAGCAAATATACTTCATTATTGAAAACAAGAGGTCATTGCAGTGATAATGTAAAACTGCATGTAACATGCAGGAAAACCTCTGGGAGCTGTTGAGCCCTCATTGATGCCAAGGTCAAAGATAAGGGCTGTACTTAGTAGGTATACATCAAAAGAACAAATTGCTGCAGCCACTTACAGTGGTTTCTGAATAAGTATTAACACCACTGGGATATGGGTCAAAACAACTAACATTTTGAGCCCCTCAGATATCTATTATGTTACTAAGCACGTCTTAGACTTCTAAGAGTCTAACTCAAAGCATACTTGGGATTTAGATCAAGTAGGAATATGAATCAGTGACCTAGTGGTTAGAGCTCTTTAATAAGGGTGAGCCTTTGGACAACTAGAGCTTTTAATAAGTAAGGGTGAGCCTTGCACACAGGTCAAGTACCTGAGGTTGTTACTATTTCTTGTTTTTCATTCCCTGCTAATATGAAATGTATCCTAGGGAAAGGACTGAGGCTCCTTTTTTTTTCTGCTCCTTCTCCCTAGAATCATTACCACCTACTTTTGACAGAAAGCTCTCCAGGACAGGATCTGCAGTTAGGAGTGAAGATATCCAGCTGCCAACCTGGGCAAAGGATGTGGTACTCAATAACTCCTCAAGGCTCACTGTAAACCACCTCTTTTCATCCAGGGACCCCAACAAGAAGCTTAAAGCATGCACGTCTCCTTCCAAGCCACACATACCAACATACTTCCACACCAGGAGAGTCAGGTAGCTAAAAGTTAGGTGCTGAAAAACGTTAATGCCTGAATCCTGAGCTTAACAGGGAGGGAAACATATCAGTTACAGAATTTGCTCTAGTGTTGTAGGTAGTGGAAAAGCATTGGTTTGTTGCATGCTGTAAAGGCAGCATCTCAATTTTACAAGCAATGTTAATTGGGAAACCTTTAGGGGAAAAGGCTGAATTGTGATTAAAAAATCACTGAAAGATAAGTAATTGAATTTATTTTACTAAAATCAATAAAAAAGACCTTTAACTAATGGCCGGGCTTTGACACAAGCCCTTACCGTGGTTACAAGCTGTGACTAATACTGTGTCTTCCCAAAATACAGAAGCACAGCAAGGATTTTTCTGAGAAATCATGGAGGTAAATAAAGGGAGCAAGTAGTAATATACACAAGGGACCAAAACAGAATTTTAGTTGGATTGATTTGGAGTTAGACTCCAAAACTGATGCTGAATTTTTTATTTTTTTTATTTTTGTTTAAGTTGCTACTGGACACTGAAGACACCTACAAAAATAAATACTTCTACTTCAATGATCAAAGCAAACTGCTGAACACTAATTAGCCACCTGAAGATCTGTTTCTGGTCTCAGTATCAGTTCTGCTGGAAGGACTCAGGGTACCCTGAGGTACCAAGTACCCAGATCCTGCACTTCTTCCTGCTCCAGACCTGTAGAGAAGGGGCTCTCCACCACAGCCCATCAGGTCACCAATCTCTGAGCTGCCACCAGACCCCCCACATTGCAAACATGCATAGATAGGACTGTGATTTATGTCCAAGTGAGGCATTAAGTTGGCCTTACTATAAGAGTAAGTCAAGACTTTCTATGAGAAACAAGCAGTCACAAAATCCAGTCCTTATTTCTGCTATTTTACATATCTTATATGGTGTCTTTTTAAGTCACTGGCCAGTGAAATAGTTTCAAGAGAAGCAATGAGCATCTGCTAAAGACTGATGATAAAAGAAATGGGAAATTGTGGTGTTTCCATTTCAGTATGTAGAAGATTATGTTTCCTACATCCTTCAAAATTTGTAAGTATAGACAGTCTAAGTAACTGTGTTAGAGTTGGTCCCTCCTTTTTACTTCATTTTTATTATTTAGCAGGAAAACAACTTTGTTATTAGACTTACCTAATCTTTTAGGTAATGCTAATCTTTTAGGTTTTTCTGTAATCTTTTCTGACTATTGGTTGCTCTTTTTCATTTAGACCAGTCTCAATGTAACTTTCTTTTCCTATTCACTGAATAGAGAGCTTACATCACAGTTTAGAATCCTAGACTAAACATCTAAAGAGTAATTCAAAAGCATTTTTTTCCTTTATCTTATGGCAGCAAATATTTAATTTATAAATTGTTAAGAGAAAACTTGATAATCTGGTTGATATTCTAGTTGTCCAAAAAAAAGAACCCTAACAGATTTTTCTGATAAACAGTTTTCTATTATCCTTAATGGCATTTTATTGTCAAAGAAATCTGGGAGATTGCACTGAAAAATAATTGCTTGATCTTCTGTCCTAAGACATGCCTCTCATATTGGCATCTGAGCAGTTACTAATAGCATGAAAGGATTAATTATCTGACAGCCCATTGCCAAAAGTGGATGAGTGTAGAAACCTGGATGGTATTCATTAGTTTGCTGTGTGACCTTCAAAAGACACTGGAAGTCTTGTGTGTGTGACTTGTCTTCTGTAAAACAGGATCATTTATATTTTTACATGATTGCAGAAAGCTTGAAGAGGGACATTTTCAGGAGTCATCTTTTTCTTGTTGTCACTTCTTGAAGGCAGAGCAGAGTCTTGCTGGCACCAGGTCTGAGCAAGGAGGAGTGGCCCTGGTGACTTTTTAGGGCAGGGCTTCCTGGACTTTGCAAGGCACAATGGGAGGATATTTTGTGAAGAATTTTTTTGCAATGCTTTGTGAATAAATTATATATATATATATTTGTGAACTTCAATTCCTTTATATAACATAGGGGAAACTTCATATTTCATAGGCATTTTATATACATATGTCTGTGGTTTAAAAATTGACTATAACTGTCAAAAGTAACATGAGTGGAATGGAGTAGAGCAGGGTGAGGGTGTAGGAAGAATGGCAGAGCTACAGAGAAATGTTATTTAATACAATAGATGAAGGAATATAGTCTGACCTGTTCGGCTCAGGGAAGGGTGGGCATCTTGCTTACCTCATGCTGAATATCTTTCATGGCTTAATCTAGTTCAGTCAAGATGTAACACTCCAGACTGTGTTTGGGGAATTGAGGGAAGAAATGCTTTTAGAAAATTCTCTGTACTCATTCTGAGTGTTAGTTCTGATGCCTTTTTGCTATCACCATATGCATCTTCTGTTTGTCAAATCAACAACAGAGTACTGTTATCCATGCTCAGGAATATTTCAAGTGTTCCAGGGCAGGCTTACAAAGTGAAGGTGGAAATTGCAAAAGAGAGTGGAAAAAGGTGATCATTCATAGGACTGGCCAAGCAGCAAGTCTTCATCAGCACAAGGGCAATGCAATAATGGTCCTCCTGTTAGCATGGTTAAGCAGGACATTTTAGAATATGGCACCAGAACATGGTTGTACTGGCAAAGGCTCAGATGCTGAGCATGCAGCTGATACTGCTGGCTCCCATTAGACTTGTGCAAAGGGTACTGAAGAGGATATTAGAATGATCTCTAACAACAACCCAGCATCAGAGAGGCTCCTATTCCTTGTGTCCACACTCACTGGAAGGGAAGAAAGTGAGCCATTAGTAATGGGACAAAAAAGAATGGATAGGGAGTGGAAATGGCATTCATTTCAAGCTAAAATTAAATTTCTGGGTCATTTTGTTTCACCTCTGATTCATTTAAAAGTTTGATTAACCAGGCCTGGCTTTTGTTTAATAGAGACCATAATGATATTGGCTTTATAACTAATTATGCATATCACTGACAAGGCAAATGATTTGATATGGTCTCTTAAGTCCAGGTCTTTACATACACTGACAAAACGAACATTTATGCAGATTTCATCCTACATGCTCCCACACTGTCAAATTCTGATTACTTCATCTGGATATCTACTCTGATCCTATTGACTGATGCATCTTACAAATGGAAGAGATACATCCAAAGAAAATGTAAACATCATCACCCCATGTGTCTGTATTCCCCACCCCACCACCCAAACAAAACAAATGAAACAAAAAAAAAAAAAAAAAAAAACAAAAAACAAAATTCATTTTATTCAAAGGCTGCAAAGATTTTAGGTGAAATTTTAGTTCTATTGAAGGCAGTGTCTTCAATAGTAAAAGAATGTGGGATATGGATATATAAGGTGATCAAATCACAGAAGGTGGACCAGGCACTGCATGTGTTGGGCTTTTATAGTACAAGAAATAGGGTCTGAGAAACTGAGAGTTGCAAATCTGAAGCTGATGAAAGGGGAGTGTTTCTATCCTGTGCATAGTCACTTCAGGAATAATGTGTCACAATCTTCACATCTCTGAATGAAGGGCTGAGAGTCAGCATTAGCAGTTGCATAAAATCAGTCTTGAATTACAAAATGAGAACGTGGAGGTATAATCCTCCACAGAAAGAAAACAGTTCACAAACAGGAAACAACAGGGAATGATCATTACAAATATCCATCATCAGTAAAAGAAGATGAAAAACAAAATAGATGAGCTTTGGAAAAATGCTTAAGATGTGATCATACATTTCTGAAATCCAGGGAAGTGAGAGTATTCTAACATATTCTTGTAAACCACTCTTTTTTGCCATCTTGCTTCAAGAAACAGAGATACGCTATACAGAAGAGATTCCATAGTTTTTGCTGAAAATAAATACTAAAAAAGAGATAATAGTGTATATTTAGGGTGTGTATTGTCTGCACCAGCAGTAGATAAAAGGTTGTAACACTGGGTAAGCTGGTGTTTCCCAACATGGGCAGAAACTGCACTCTGTGCCTTAAACAGAATTAAACCAGAACTCATGTTTTCTCAAGGCTGGGTTGAGCTGTGGATTCCAGAGGCCTTTGCCTGAAGTCTTAGTTGGATTTACTCAAGGCTGGGTTGAGCTATGGATTACAGATGCCTTTGCCAGAAGTATTATTTGAAGAACTGGTGAGCCTTCTACTTTCTGGAAATGGCTGAGAAACCACTTTATTGTATAGCAGCTTAAAGAAAAACAAAACAAAACAAACGAACAAAAAAAAAAAAAAAATGTTTGAGGCAAGGAAAAAGTTAAGTCCTTAATTAAAAACTTAGAAAGAATAGGATAGGAACTGGGGAGTGGGGGCTGGAGTAGATGACCTAATGTTCCTTCCAGCATGAAGGGATTATCCTATGATCCTTTGAAAACATGAGGATAAAAGCTCAGAAAAGCATCAGATCTCAGTCTCCTATCTTTATAGTAGTATGGGATTCTCTGATCACTTTCCTGGCTTCAAGGGGCAAGCTCAATATTACTGCTCTTTATTTAATATCACCAGAATGCCCTTATTAATCTGGAAACTAGGGGTTATCTGTACTTTTGCCTTGGCTTAGATATGTGGCACTTGTGAAAATGTTAATGGATCACTCCTGATTTTATTTGAAAATCAGTGAGATTCTCCTCTTCCTAATGCTGATTTCTCTACACATCTATGCCTTTTTCCCCTAGTAAATTTCTGAGTTACAAACACAGATTTGCAATATTTTACTAATTATGTATTGCTAAGGTATGTGGTTTTTTTCTTCACAGCTGTCTTCATGTCTGCCAGTTCTTACAGAGACTATTAATGGCATATGAAATTATATCTTTTCCTTTAAAGGGCATCCTGTTACAATATGTTATTGGTCTCCAGATCAGTAATATGTTAATAAATTCATGGTATTAAAAGCCAGAGCAGTCTGAAAAAGAAAAAAAAAAAAAGAAAAAAAAAATATTAGGAAAAAAAATTAGAACATTTTCATGAAAACTTCCACGTTGTTTAACAACTTGAAAATAGCATCATTTTTCAAGCATTCTAATGCAGAAAAGATTACTGAGGACACACAGTAATATGTCAGTCACCCTAATCAGCGATCACAACTACTGAGTAACAACTCACACACAATTTTATCTTTCCATTCTTGCTGGATTTATTTCATTCTGTCAGAAGAATAAAAAAGGTGCTGACTTTACCTTTGTTTCACTTGGATTTAGCAACTGAGATATTTGTTAAAATTGAGTACTTTAACATATTTTTTTTCCTGCCATATGTCATTCTGCACATAAGATATGAGTTTATCTAAAGACCAGATCCTGAAGCCCACTGAGTCTGTTATTATATAACTGATTCAGCTTTGATTTAAGTTCAGAATGTTTGGCTTTTAATTGCACAGAAATCTATAAGGCAGGAGGTGAATCATTGTGACTCACTTAGGGACTTAGTTAGAGAGTCATTTGGGAATCTTTCCTACACAAAATTAACCTTGCAAACATGAATAGATACAATCTACTTGTTAAAGGAAAAAGAGTAGCACCTGAGCTATATTTGTGCCATAATTGATTTTGCAACTCTTTTTATACCTCCCTTCAACATCTTGCATCACATCTACAGAATTACTTCTAGCTTTTCATAAAATGTCTGATACATATTTTAACAAAATCTATGAAAAAAGATTATTTGAACTGAATTATTTTTCTTAGTGAAACTAAGAAATAAAATCTAAATAAAGGTATCATTCCCTTTGCATTTTGAATACAGTTGGTCCTAGGAAGAGGAGTTACTCTTGTGCTGGCAGATTCTGAAGTACTCTTATCACACCAGAAAATCAAGCTCCTTGAAATTGCAAAGTTTTTTTTTCCTCAGTGACAGAAAGAAAAATCAAATTGATGAGCAGTGAGTAATTCTATGAGGAAAAAAAAAAAATAGCTTGGGCAAGTAAGGAAAGGCAAGTCAAATCTTAATAGGTATATATCTGACAATTCAGGTCTATGGCCCCACTATTTTTAACCTGAGCAGGACCTTATCAAATTACAGAGAAATTCCTCCACTGAAGAGAAATTCAGTAATCAACGTTTCTAACCTTGGTCAGAAAGGTTTCTAACCTTTGCTGTTTAAAAAAAAAAAAAAAAAAAGCTAATGAAGAGGCAAATGAAGAGATGATAAAAGTGACTTATTTGGCTACAGTCTCATTTAAGTGCTTTGATGAGGAATATTCCTGCTGGATGGTTCCCTCCTGAAATAGGATTAAAATTACTTATTTAATAAATTCATGGTGAGTGTTATCTTTCTGTATTACAGATAGTATAATTTGGGCCATATAATTTTATTTTAAGGGTTGGAAATATCTGTTTAGAATATTTATGGAGGACTTAAGTGAATTTGTAAAGTGGATAAGCATATTGATCTTATCTGAATTTATGAAATCGAAATAAGCATGAAAAAAGCTTACAAAAACTCCATAATTGAGATTGTTAAAGATAGGCTAATCATTTATATCAATAAATTAAAATCCGTATGAAATTCTTCTCTTTGAGACTAGCATGAATCACTTCCTAAAACAAGTGGTAGAAAAGAAACATGATTACCATGACCTTAAACCATAACAGATAAGGCTATTTTTAGTCCAGAATATTCTGAACTGTACAATAAAGTCAGATGATACAGACACATTTTTTTTATAAATCTAACTTTGTTTGACTTAAGTCATGACCCAAATGTATCACTTTGTTTTTTAATACTCTCACAATAAATAAATTAATTTAATTAAAATCGAGTAAGTCATTAACATCTCTATAAGAAAAAAAAAAAGTGTAAATTTCATAACTTGCCAGATTCAAAACTTTATCTCATTCCCTTTGTCTGAAATAGATATGTGATGTATGTCCTGTTTCAGTCAGTTTGGCATTACCCTGGTGGCTTTGGAGATGTCTTTGCTGGTTGCTTGACAGCTGACAAAATACTGCTAACTCTTAGAGTAACCATTTGCAATGCATTGTAATGTGTAGTGACACATTACATTTTTTTTGTTCAAGCCATTCATTTGAACAACCAATGCTGACATACACCTTTTCATAAATATGGAATGATGTAAAACAGTAGAAAAAGATTAAGGTAAAACAGAAACTACAAAAGCTACTTTTCTGTTTCTTTATAAATGTATTCGGGAGTAATTATGGCCAAGAATGTTAACTATTCTGAGACCTTAATTTTAAGTAAGATAAATCATAAGATAGACAAAATGCTTGTCCCATGTAATTTCATAACATAAATAAAATCAAATCCCAGTAATATAAGTACCAAGTATTCTCTCCCAGAATACTTATGAATACTGTCATGGGTACAAACAGCAATAGAATCATAGAAAGATTTGGGTTGGAAGGGACCATACAGGTATTCTAGCTCTACCCCCTCTGCCATGGGCAGGTACACCTCCCACCAGACCAGGTTGCCCAAAGCCCCACCCAGCCTGGCCTTGAACACCTCCAGGGATTCTTCTCTGGGCAACTTGTTCCAGTGTCTCACCACCCTCATAGTTAAGAATTTCTTCCTAATATCTAATCTAAATCTCCCCTCTTTTAGCTTAAAACCATTACCTCTTTTCCTATCACTACACTATCTGACAAAGAGTCCCTCCCCAGCTTTACTGTAGGCTCCCATTAGGTATGGGAATGCTATATAAGGTCTCCCCAGAGCCTTCTATTCTCCATGCTGAATGACCCCAACTCCCTCAGCCTGTCTTTGTAGGAGAGGAAGTCCTCTTTTTTGGTCTGTTATATGGCTGCTGGTAACTGCCTCAGTTCATTAGGCAATGTCTCTATCCATGACATACGACAGGCACACAACAATAGCTTCCCAGAAACTCAATATTAATTACAGACTGAAGCCAGGTATAAGAGTTCATTTTGAAACTATTTTAATGGAGATAGATCAAAGCTGGAACTTCACGAAAAGAGAAAACTGCTAAGACAAATAGAACAAAACTGAACTTTCTCTTCACCATTGGCACTAGGCCTTTATCTAGCTTCCCATGCAGAATGTCTTTTGCATTCACAAGTTACATATATGTATTTTATTGACACAGCCTCTTCCATTAAGGTACATAAGGCATGTTTCTTTGGTAAGAGAAAAGACACCTTGTATTTTCTTTTCTCAATTGAATGTCTTCTAGATCATTTATCATTATTATCTGAAGGTATTCATATTATTACCAACAAGACAGGCAGCAGTTTTAAAAGGAGATATTAAAATGCCTTTGACATTCATGCAGCAGTGGGTTTGTGACAATGAGAAACTGATCTGTTCCAAATTGTACAGCAATTCTGTAGGGAGCCAGTATGGCCCCCTCCTTGCTCCAAGTCTCATGCTCAGCGCTTGCTCCTGTGTTGCCTGAAGTTGACAGTGAAAGAAGCTAAGTATATATGAAGACCTACTAATTTCTCCCAGTTTGAATGCTTTTTTACATATGATATGATATAAAATTAGAAAGTAGACACACATTTTTCAGTCAGTCTTTCTTTTACCTTTTCTTCCTTACACAACCACCTTTTCTGCACCCAAGCTTTCTGAAGACTCCCTGATAAAGCACTAAGTATGAATCTAAATGGTGGTGGTGGATGTACTGTGTTTTACTCAGTATACAATTTTTGAAGTTTAATGAATTTTAAGTTATATATGCCAAAATTATAGGATTTTACTTACATACAGATATTTTTTAATTGTCTTTCTCTACTGGTGCTTTCAAGCTTTTGATAATGATTATTGCATTACTTCTTAAGAGTCAGGTCTTCTGTGTTCCTCTCAAAGTTAATATTCTCTGCTTTCTTGTTTATAATTATATATTTTTTTTTGCTTTTAATCCTTTTTCTGTGTATTAGTTCCACTGAAACCTGACCAATTCTGTCCTGCTTTGATGATTTTTATAGCTCTTCATTCATTTCCTTTTAATTTTGCCACACTATATGATACTGTCATCTAAACTACATACTAAAACCACAGCTATTTAGCAGTTTTCTGATATTAATAATTATAACTGCATTCATTCAATATATGTTTTGAAACAAATCCATAAAGTTATTTATTATATAAGGAAGAATAAAGCTCATATTTATTTCAGATGAGATTGTATCATCATGGTGCTTAAAATGAATTGAAAGCTGTGTAGATTTCATGGGTCTCCATGAAACCAACCATTAATCTTAATTTAATCTAAGCACTTAATCCTTACTTTCTTTTTTTTTTTTTTTTCTTTTAAATGTCTATTTTTCTATTCTCTTCTGCAAAGAGTGCAACTTTTTCCTCTGAGTTCCTGTCCCCTCTGATCTGACACAAAACTTGTGTCACATATATACTTGTTTGGTTTGTTTATTTCTTTAGCCATTTTCACAAGAAAAAAAAAAGTGAATTTGGGCAAATACAAGGGAATTTGTGGCTATCCCTGAAGCTTGGATAAAAGAGCTTCACTTTTTTTTTTTTTTTTTTACTTTGATATAACCATTAGATGACTATTTTCATGTAAGTCACTTTTTACATTTGAGGTGAAAAGTTATTAATATCAAAACCTTTGTAAGCTGTCTGAATGTGTCTAAAATTATAAATACTATCTTTACCTTGTATCCACGTTAAAAAGCAGAACTGAATCAAAAATTGCTTCAGGCTATGGAAATAGCTGGGAGCTTTATTTTCAGACTCCTGTTCTCCTGTATCTTTCTACCAGTTAGAATCTAGAGCCTCTTAGGGACTTAATCGTTCAACCTTTCAGACCCAGTTCAACACAAGAGTTGAAGCTAGCTCTCTGCATAATCGATATCAGATATTTGTGAAGTATATTGCATGTGAAATCTGAGCATGATGTTCTGCAGACTTCACAGGCTCACACAAAGTGTCCTAGGTCTGAGTAAGTAACCAAACTCTAAATATTTACTTCATCGGATATCTGAATTTTTGGGGTGGACTACTACTAATTCTACCTTCCTGATTTCTTTTTTACATGCCTCCTTTTCAAGACTCTTTCTTATTGTGGCTCTTCTATTTAATTATGTGTGGAAAGCAAGATCAGTCTTACAAAAACCCCTTTCTTACCTGGACTTCCCAGGCTCCACATCCTTCTTAGTCAGTTCAAGTATTTTCTGGTAGCAGTTTATGCAATGCAGTGAGCATAGGTGAATTACTTATTTCTAAGGATCTGCCAGTCATTACTGCCTTAACAAAGTGAATCTGCTCTCTCTTTCCCTTACACTTGCCCTTTTCCTCATGTACATTGCATTTCAGATGTTTATACATTTAAAGGCCAAACTGTGCCTTGACAAAACAGTTTGTACAACCCTGGGCAGTGAGATCATATAGCCACATTTACAACTGCTTGCTCAATGCACAAGAGAATGATGGCAAAAACAGTAACTATTTTAAGGAGGAAAACCCTGCATTAAAAAAAAAAAAAAATCATTACAATGTGCAGACTATTTGCCACTGGTATTTGGTTCACTCATCAGGGAGCATTTAGCAGAATGGCAGCAGTGCTGACTGACACCATGTCTTTGCCAAAGACAGCAGGACCCCATGAAGCACAGTTGACCTATCCTGAAAGAAGACTATACTGCAGCATAAAAACCTACCCTTCCACCTGCAGAAGCAGAGGGGATGTCAGAGTAATCTACATTTTTAACTTCTGTTTATGTTCAGTGCTGTGCAGGCTGCAAGATGAGATATTACCTGAAATTCCCGTGGCAGACAGCAAAGCATAATGAAAAGTCAAAACACTGAACAAGGGATTGAGCAGAAAAAAAGGCTGTGAGTGCCAGCTTTCCATTTGGAACAAAGCTAAGCACGGTTGGGGAGCTGACAGGAATTATTCACACCTTCCAGACCCATCCAATAGGTGTGCACAGCTCATGAAGCGGAGATAGGAGGATGTATGTGACAGCATGAAAATGCTACTGAATAGCACAATAGCACAGCCTGTATTTCCTATCCACACCCTAGAGACCAATTCCCAGTCTTCGCAAATAAGATGCATTTTCAACTCAGAGAGAATTTTAAGGATTGAAATGTCTTTTTGTTCTTATGTATAACAACAAGGGCTATCAAAATAATATAATTGAGAAATTTGTTATAATGTCTGGAGAAACAGAGCAAC